AATATCTAACAACAACAACAACAACAGCAGCAGCAGCAGCAGCAGCAGCAATAATAAGGACCTTCTATATACGGCATAATATTGACGTGAGGACGTCAACTCTCTCCATCGATCCTATCCTATTACTTTCCTCTGAGCGCTGTAAATCTGCCCATGTTCCAGGGCTAGTGGAGGGTTCTGCGTCAGTTCGGAGCAAAAAAAAAGTGACACTTGTATGGCATCTCGGGCCATCTTTGATGTGTCAACTTATACCTTGGTATCTATGGACTGTTCGAGTGTTGATTGCGCAAAAAAGCAATGGCGTCCATCTACCGCTGGCAACACCGGTTCGTCTATCTCGCGCTGGTGGATTTCTGTGGTCGCTTGTGGATTTGTAGCATTGTCGTTAGTTGCTTTCTTTGGCGCCCTTTCGTTGTGGATGCGACGCTGCTGCTGCTGCTGCTGCTGCTGTCTAATTCTTCCCTTCCTTCTTAGCGTTTTCCGCTGGCGGCCTTTTAGCCGCTAGCCAACCTCGAACGCTGGGACGCTGTGGATGCGGATGATGAAAATGAACGAGATCGGATTCTGCTTGACTGCTGGTGGCTGGCACCAGTACTGTTTGTAGTAAAAGGTAGTAAATCTTCATGGATTATTGGGTCGCACGAGAGGGCTCTTCGACGTGCACTTACCGCCAACTTCGAGAGTAAACGCCTGGGCAGACATAAAGCTACAGAGCCGCTTTTTTGTTGGCGATCGAGAACGCCTTGTGCTGCCTGCCGTGCGGCACGCAGCAACTCGACATCGGCAAGGCGGGTTAACCGTCTCGCTTAACGGTATCTCTTAGTGTGTAGGCAGCATAAGAGGAGACGCAGGCAGTAGTTTTGAAACGGAGTAGCTGGAGAGGCTCCTTTAGAGGAACATAACATGCAGATGATATACATAGGTTTAGGTAAGACGGCGTCACGTCAGCGACTAGCTAAAAAGAGTAGGCGAACAAAACCTACTTGGTGGATCACAGTATACCTTATTCAAAGATGGGGTGCTACGAATATCTAAATGAAACAATTTTAAAATGATTAAGGGTCGTTTTCCTGTTAATAACCTGAAAACGTATCTCTTGCCATAAAGTAACGGCGGATATGTTTCTAAGAAATAAGAGATACTATGTGAACCCAAAACGTATGACGATTATTTAATATTTCTTCCGCAGAGCTGAAGCATCGCACTGCCAAAATGCCTTTGATCGGGTGTGACGCGGACGGAGAACATTTAGATTAATAGAATATATTATGTTTCCACTAGGGAACCTAACACCGTACATACGGGCTATGTGAGACCGCATGGGGCGGTGATAAGCGTAAGTTGAAATCTGAAAAATCTAAAAACTTTATTTGCGCATGCTAAATTTCTGTGGCGAAATTAAGTTAAATTAAATTAAATGAGAAATCTTCCTCAGGCATCTTTAGGCCAATCCAATTACTTAGACCACGAACAGCCCATCTTATCTATGTTTGGAGTGAGGCAGACGCGAAAACTTCTGCAGCAATTTAGAATACGAGAATTGACATTTATAGGGCACAAAAGTTCGTGCGTAAATTTCGCCACGAACTGTATGTATAAACAATGCTATAGGCAATTGTCAGGGACACCGGTGTCTCAGAGCGGTAAAATATCGTTTTTTTTCTGAGCTATGAAATCTCCTAATTGATTCGCTTATTATTTTTTTTGCTTGAAAAATTCAATGAAAGCACTGGAAACAGGAGGGGTAAGACACGGTTAAACTTTTGCGCTATCATAAAGTAGATAGGACGTGTTAAGTGGGGCATTGCCCTGTATGTAACGAAACCTATCACATAAAGTGTCTGTTACCTTTCAAATTCTGTGCCGTATGTTTACTTACTTACTGAAGGTGAAATGACCTTAGTCAAGCGAGATCTGCGGGTGGTTTAGGACAAACGTCAGTGGTCCTATAGAAAGCACAATAGGCAATACATTGGTTTGACTTCATATTGACTCGTCTGGTTCTACCTCATGCCAGCCTCCAATATCGTATTTCGAGCGCAGGTTCGTACCACGGTCAATATACAATAGTAGAACCAAATGGTTCGATATGCACGTTGTAAGCGTGCTTCGACTGTGATTGCTTTAACATGAATATATATAACGAGCATAAAAACCCGTGCCAGTATGACCATAGGTCATACTTCTTTTCGTACTTCTTTTCGTTGCTTCTTTTCGTTATTTGAAACAAATGAAGTTCGGTTTCAAGTTTTTACAATGAGTAATTCTTGACACTTTATTGATTAACTGGGCGCATATATTAACGTTTTTTCGTTTATGTAATTTACTCTATGCCTTTTTGAGATCAAAATGCCTCTGAATGTTTGCTGTATACTCAGATATGATAAAGAACAGCTTATCTGCGAAGCTTCCGCTTTTTTCATGTTTCTCTATAATCGGATCTAGCTAGCTATTTACAAAACATTTATAAACAAATGACAGAATTATCGCGGTGCTCTTTGAGACTGTGTATATATGATAATATATTGTTGTATCTGTACAACTGGCTGCAATTAGTCGTTCAGAATAGAGCATGTCACGCCACCTGTTCACGAGTGGGTGTTCCTGCTCCCCCCCTCTCTGTCTGCCTCTTTTTTTCGAGACAAAAGTATGGGGGAACAGCAGATCCCCCGGGGATTCAACCCGTTATCTAAGCTGGTAGAAACCACAAACAAGTAGGCAGTTCAGTCCACAAGGTATGGAATGACGTATGTCTTCCGGCTGTGAAACTCGACGACTCACGTACCATATCCTATTCAGCCTTGGGTTCGATTCTAGAAATCGAGCAGTTTAAAGAGACTTCCTCATTGACTATTATATATGATATCACTCTATCAAGGGACATTTCTGAATGAAACAACGTAGATTGGTTATTTCTGGAGCTCTTATATTCGGTACACCCATCAAGAGAAAATATTTTGGTGTTTTTCTGTAATATATATTTGTTACATCTTGTTTTTTGCATGAAACTGTGGCCTAGTATTGAAGTTTGGCTTTAATTACTGATGGTGTTATTAAGAAGTAAACATATACATGTAAATATCTAGAATAGTGATAACGCGTTAACTGCAAGAATCGATGAGCGTGCATAAATCTGCAAGGTTTGACCAGCTGTTTTATTGTTTGCTGAGCTGGCTCTTAGTCTTTCCAGATAAATTTTCGTTCTATACTATGTTTTTGAAACACATTGTTCCACTTATCTCTATTGTCAACTACAACAATTTCTAATGCAATTGCACTTTAAGAGTAATTATTAGACAAGCTGCAACTTGAACCGTCCAGGCTACATAATCCCGTTCTAGTTCGCCAATTTTGTTTCATAGCTCCCGAGACGTACGTTTAGGCCATTGTGATTACATCAGGCAACAGGCAAAGGGCGATATTAAGAATCGTCGCTTTAGTGACGTTTAACTTCGGTTTGGAGTCCCAATCAATCGGATGTACAAAGGCAGGTCGACGATTGCTGTCGTGAACACCTTGAGGAGAGGTCCAGCAGACTGGCCAAGCGTCCTCGCCGCTGACCGACCTGCTCTGCTAATAAGAAAGTCGATTGAAAGCCTTGGTCGTTGCTTGCCGCATTGAAGTTTGATGATCGCTGGTCACGTGGCGCTGCATGTATAACGTTATCGCTCTGCTGAGACAAAGAACAGCTAGTTTCAACGGAACGGACGGATGAAAGAGACAATTCGTGCTGACTGCGTTCCCATTCGCCTTAAGCTTCGAGTGCTACCGTTTGACGACACGAGATGGCGTCCCCACTTCGAATTGGTCTTATTTGCGATACATTGCTGAGAAACCGTGCTCTTGAAAATAGCGTCAAGCTGAGCAAATACAGTTAACGTATGAGCAAATGCGCCCCTCAGGGTACGCCCAGGGTAATCTCAGGTACGCTCTAGGCAAAAAGAATTCAACGCAATTCGAAGAAGGGTCAAAGACTTTTAGTTTATTCGACAAATTGAAATTCGTTTACAGAAGATCTTACTGAGACATATGCACTCGATGTATATAAAAATTGTGAATGATTGATGGCGGCATATTTCAAATAGAATAGATCTACTAACTCCACTGGTAGACTTTTTCCCGGTCAAAGAGAATACTGAGTATTACAGAAGCTATGCGTATTGACCCGGTTGACTATAGGCTTAACGTGTCGGTTTTGTGGTGGCAGTTTTAGAGATTAACATATACATACTCGCTCTATAAAATTGGCTTTATTGGCTCCATAAGTCTTTGTTCATTGAGTTTATAATCACTCATTAATTTATTTTAGAAAACAGCCCTACATCGCTATAACGATAAAGTCATTATCATCACTATCAGATACGCCGCAGAAATATCCGCCGCAATAACTAGTATGTCTTTGTTTTTTCGTTTTCCTACACTGTTGTGCATTTCATTATGGTAGGGCGTCACTACAAGGGGGGTCTCTCTGATCTTTACTACTATTGAACGAATCCTACAAATAAAGCCTTTATTTTAGCTTTTGGATTATTTGTCAACATACGTCTGACAACTGGATTATACGTGCAAGTATAGTGTTTCCTTCTTTTCGAAATAAAAAAACCCACTCCGGAAGCCTGTTAAGTGAGACGACTTGACGCAACACTTCAGTTGAAAAAGTCGCCCTTCTCTTGTGATGGTGGGAGGATGTGGAAGAAGTGGCTGTGCCGTATCACCTTTGATCGACTCTATTCGGACCCCATTTTCTTTCATATTGACACAGTCATTCGACGCTTTTCTTCGACATTGTTTTGAACGTGATCTACTCTACTAAAACAAAAAAAAAAAAAAAATATATATATATATATATATATATATATATATATATATATATATAAAGAGTTCGTTGAAATAATTTTAGGATATCATTACTGCAAGGAGGATAACAATCTGCTGGCCAACTTCCTAGATTGGTCAGGATAGGACTGTAAGATGCGTTCCAGAACGAAAGGTGACCTCTTAGAGGTTTCGGTGTTATCGTATCAAATTTTTCTTACCAGAGTTTCACCTACATTGACTACGAGCCTGCGTACCTTTATTTGAACATTGTCGCAAAAGAACTCCATTGAATATATACAACAGTCGAATAAACGTATGAAGATGGTGCATTGTGTTGAAAGGCGATGTGAGTGGATAACTTCTGTGTGCAACGATCTTTTTTGCGCAAAGAACGGTGTCCCTAGGCAGTTGTCTATGACAGAAGTTCCGCTTGCAAAAAGAAGTAGCCGCTGATCGCTTCTGCTTAAGCTAAGGTTTAAGTGAAGATGTAACCTCGACGGTAAAGGCGATAACTTTGCAATACGGCTCTACTCTATTAAACAACAATTTCAAACAGCCTGTGGATAAATTTGGTTCACGGAACATAACTGTGTCTGTTACACGTTCAGCAAAACGTTGCACGAAACCTATCGCTACAAGTATCATTTGAGGGGAACGATTATTAAGCGTTGGTCAAAAATGATTTGGCGCAGTAAATTTCTGTTGTAGCTGTTGGCCTATTCAAGGCCGGGATCCTGGACACGCTTCAACAGAGGCACATCATTCGAGCGAAACGTGTTGAATATATGGATGTATGGGCACACCTGATCCGCCACCCCTCACAGAAGTGCCGATCGTATTTATCAGAGCGGTAACTATTCGGCCAGCTGTATTTGCACATACACTGTATTTGTGATGCACGAAGCTGGAAGCAACAATTGATAATCCATCAAATAGAACTAATTGCACGTTTTCTATTCATCGACGGAAAAAACAGGTAAAAGACGCAAGTTTCAAAAGTGATATCTTAACTAACGATTCTTGCCACGAATACTCCCTATGCCACTAACAACAATGTAAAAGACGAGAAAAACACTATGTGAATACAATGTTATTACTCAGCATTTTCTATTTTTCAGTTTGTTTAAAGTTACGGTGTAATACCACAGCATAAGGTCTCCTTCCAGTGTTCTCTTCCTTTTGACAGTGTTCTTTGATCATCTTGAAAACCACACTGAACAAACAACACCCAAACGAGTGATACGGTATATTTTTGTTCAAGTTAAACTTACTTGATCAATTCAGCAAAGTTTGACTGAAGCCAAATCGTCACGAATCACTCCCGGTTGCGATGAGAGCTAATCGCTCATAGTTTTTTGCCGCATGTACGAGCTTTCGATGGTAGTCAGCCTGTTTCTGATAATTACCAAAAGCGCTGAATTGTTCAAAACGAGCAAGAGATACTTATTTCGATACTAAATCAGCTTAGTTTAACGTAAAACATTTGTAATTGTTGTTAGAATTCTTCGTAAAAAATCCAACTTCCAAACTACATAATCTACTCCAATCTTATGGGGAAAATGTGTGGTGCATTCTGTTTTACAGATTCATCTAATAATATTCTTACTGTTTAATAATAGGTATCGTTTCGTATATCAACTTTGGTTTGCATCAGTATCGGTGCCCCAAATACTATCTGCATTTTGTCATGCTATAGTATCTGCCTGTCGAATAACCCGTGAGTCGATTTACCAGCCTCAGTCCGTCTAGTGTTGACTACAGCAGCTTGTTCGCTTGCTCAATGGAACAGAAATTAGAAAAATAATCCCGCGTTTAGTCATCTTCCATTAAAGTTCATGTTTATCGAATATGTCCTACGAAAAGGATATCTAATATTAGCCAACGGATACATCGAAAATGCACAGCGTTTATAAACGAAACTTTGATAGCCATGAACGTCGATACTGTTTCTGTTGCTGATGGCGTCGCTGTTCATATTGTTGCCCTCCTCGAAGTTCCAGTGAGAAAAGGCTAAAAATTGTTTGCCTCATATAGCGCCACCGTCGTCCAGTATTACTCTCTTTCCCAGCTGAGCCAGCTGGTTGAGTCAGGTGATCACCGCTAAGATCTATTATCATAAGATCTGCTTTCGGATCGACCGGGAAGCACTTGGGCTAAAAGCAGGTCAAATGGCGTGCCATTGACATTAATTACGCTATCAATCGCCTAGAGACGACGCAGAGCCATTTCTTCCCGAAGAGCAAACAAATCATCCCGGCTAAGTGGACTGGTTGGTGCAAGCCCAGTTTAGAGAGCGGGGAAAATCGAATAAACATTTAGCGTTCGGAAATTATTGATTTAAATTAGTTAGTTTTCTTTAGACAGATACCGGACAGCTCAAAAAAGCTACGAAGTAGTGACGGAAAATATATCTTTGCAAAACTGTGTCGCGGCCATTACGAACACGGGTTTTGTGAAAAAGCGCCATTCCCCTGTCGAGCAGAACTTGTTGCTGTTCTTGCGGAAAAATCGTTTATCTATTAGCGGTAATGGAAAATCAATAGCCTTACGATCTATGCTGTAATGTGCAGTATCTTTAATTACTAATTAAAAAAATAAAGTGTCTTTAAATGGGAAAGTCTGTGGGGCAGTGGCTACCTCGTAGCCTCATTTGCTTCGTCAATACCTACACCAATCACGATAAATCTTGGCCAAGAGATACTCTTCATAACTCATCTCCACCCTCCCTTACATAATACCGACATATGTGATTAATTGCCGATTATATACATACGCTACATGGAGAGAACGAACTTAAGAGTCTGTGGTTTAAGGTATCGGCAAAGAATATGTCGTGTGGAGTACGTGTCCAGCGTTGGTTAACGAAATACAAACATAATTGATTTATCCATGTAACTTACTTCTTGCATCCTATACATGGATCCTATTTGAAGTAAAAAGCGCTTATCAGCCAATAATACAGCGGCTGAAACCATTTTAGCGAATCGTTTCACTGCATCCCTTCTATCAATTTTATTTTCCCAAATAACTGTTCCTGGTACTTTCTGTACGCCAATGCAGACTCACCATGGTCCATCGTGGATGATTTAGCACATCGTTTTTGAATGCCAACAAAAAAATCATAGACCCCCTTTGAATTTAACTAGCGAATCGACAGCTATAAACAAACCTGGACATTAGAGCGAGCCAAACCAGAAAAGAAAGGAAAGACAAAAGATCGAATAACTGAACTATACATATATTTTGACGTATTATATATACTACGAGTATTTACTAAATAAGCCATTTCCATCGCAGTGTCTATCTCCGAAGCCAAGAGGTGTGGCTTGTTAACTGTCAAAATGATGGTACAAATCTTGCGTCCTATTTGACTTCAGCCATTTACGTAATGGTTCAGACTAGACGTGTGAGTAAATTTCGTATTTTCAGATTCTCTAATTTCCGTGCAGTTCCTCACAACGGCGTTGCCCAGTATATGCGGCCATTCAACAATTGTAGATATTAGCTCGTATCGCTGTTTTTCCCTTGTTCCTATTCAGTTTAGAGATCATCTGACTCCCTAACTTCATTCCTGCGTGAGCATGAGACGAGTATCAGGAGTGGTTCTATATACATGTATATAGAACATGAAGCACGCAGGACTGGGATCGTCACCTTGCGTTGGTCTACATTTGGTAAAGCTTGTTCCTTCACTGTTAGTGTTTTTGTGGCTTTCTGTGATGAATCTAACAAACGCTGGATCGCAGGACAGGATTCAGGTGGGCCAAGCAAAATGTTCGTTTCCTAAGCCCTTCTCGCCGTGTTTTATAAAAGATGTGTTGTCGTCAGATTCGGGAAGCTATCTACCACACGCACACATATACATACGGAGACAGGCAGACACAAGGGCAGCAACTTACAATAAGTAGCGCACATCACATGAGTGCACACGAGGCACTCAGGGTCGAGGACCGATGGTCGTCACCTGCTTTTCTTTCTCACTGCTTTATTACCGCCGCTGTTGGGACTGCCGCTGTTGGTGTTGTTTCTGCGGTCTTTGCTATGGCTGCAACTGCTTTGCCGTCAGGTGCGAGCTGTCAAGGCAGTACTCGGTTGTTGCCTTATTTTGCCAAAGCAGAACATGCTCTCACAAAAAGGCGAAAGCATAAGGTGCAGCTACAGCAACAGCGACAGCGACGGCGGCGGCGACAGCAGCAGTAGCAGAGCGATCTTAAAGCGAATCAGGGGAGCCAAAACGCTACCGGTACATTCGAGAGCGGTTCGAGGGGCCTCGTTTGAGCATCATCGTCCAAACGACGGTACACTTTGGCTCCAGTCGGACGGACAGAATAAACCGCTGACACAACGGCGCGCGGTGTGTAAACGCTTTGGAAAGTTTTTCAACCCGTTAGGAAAGCTTGCCGCCATCGTCACTATCAGAGTTAGCAACAGCGCACCAAACACACATAGCTAGGCTTAATAGTTGCGTATTTCTACTTTTGATAGAAAAGCAGCATCGAACACGACAAATGAAGGAGACGACCAGGACAGCCCAGAGCAGCCATAGTATTAGGATTATTAGGACCACTCATGTAACTGGTGTTCTTGCTGCTAGCAGTTTATCGCTCGCATTCTTTTCCGCCCTGTGACAGAAACGCTCATAAACGAAGAGCTTCAACGGGAGCTTAGCCATGTCGCATCTCAGCATAAGCTCGGTTCGACAAACCGTATACTTATTCGTGTCTTCGAAGAAAGCGGACCATTCTAAATCTGCACGGGGGCTGGGGCTATCTCGAAGAAAAATAGATGGAGATCGATCGAACGCATGCCACTCTAAACACGGTAAATAGTAATGATACTGTATATTGATCGACTCAAAAAAGCATTTGTTTGAATAAGCTATATGTGGATTCAGAGGGAAGCGAAAAACACAACATGATAACAATTGTAGTCTCTTCAACAGATGTATAAGGAACAGCATCGCGTCCAGTGGTAGAACATCTGACGTAAACGTTCTTTTAGATGCGAGTCTTATCGAGTAAGCTGCCTGATTGCGCTCTATGGTACTTAATTGTATGAAGTGGCGTGAGTATCGAAACGTTTAATTATAATGAACTGTACGTAAATAAGTTTGACAAATATTGCGTTACCATTGCTGTTCGTGTACAAGGCTCTTCATTTTCTTTCTCAAAAAATATCGAAATTCGTTATCTATTTTTTGTCCTCTCTTCGATTCATAGAAAACCCTAGTAGATGTTTATGTTTTGGAGAAAAGTTGCTTGCTTATACCTACTTTTCAAGTTACAACTGTTACAAACCTTCTAGGTAATCGGAAAAAGTATTGCGATAGACGTCTATCAAACATCTCACCGGATGGGAGCCGTTGAAGATGTTTACGTGTAACTTAATGTAACTCACATGACAAATGATCAGATGTCGCGGATAGTTAAAGGAGACGATGACTATTATTTTAGATTGTTTTAAGTACAAGTCATTTTGCCAAAGGTAAGTTAACAGGTTTATTTCAAAAGCCGCGAGTTTAGCGGCGAATCGAGACTGTTCCCAGCCGCAACCATCCTCACATGGCCCGCACCTAGAGGATCGTCCAACACAACTTGCAACAACTGCAAAGCATTTCTCTTCCCTTGTAGAAAAGTAGGCTAGGCTTAAGCTTTAAATTTAAAAATTCGAGGCAGAGCTTCAGAATATAGCAAGTCTAAAAAAGGTCGCATTTTTCGAATTAACGTTAGGACTCAGGCCCTTGGCGAAGACGTTATTCCAGCATTGAAAGTGCTGCTATTAAACGTACGCTTGCACTTATGATACCCTTAACGTTTATGTACGGTATTTGTCGCGCTTATTGTTACATTAGTTCGCCAATCTGTAACCTGCAGCCTGTGAAATCACAAAAAGCTGATAAGCACCTTTGCTTACCATTCTTGATGGAATTCGATGTCGTTTTTTTTTATTATTTCTATCTCGTATTAAGCAGTCTTTACATTTGCACGTCCACACAAAAGTAATGATTAAATAGATAAGAAAAGCCCTTCTTCTTGAACAGTAATATCCTACTAACAGTAATATCTTGCTCCTATATCGGCATCTGACAGACTTACTTCCGAAGAAACTTCCTTTGTTAGCATGAAAACCTGTTTGTGATCGAATGTCGTCTTAACAAACTTCTGCTGTTCATTCGAGTTGTTTGTGTCCAGTTTTTGGGGGAACGAATGACAGCCTTTGTAGTTGACCCAGATGTTGAACAAAGTAGCTTTAGAAGATCCTAGTTTTGTTCAAACGCGAAAAACGCTAGTAGATAGAAGTCTGCATCATAAGCATAGCGAAATCAATATTTGTATATACATGTGATAATGGCAGAGTCCAAGCGATCTAGTCAAGCGTTTTCCAGGACAACCACGCTCGATCATGTTGTCACGCGCAATGAACGTCGCCTCTTCTCTTCAGCCTCACCCGTCGTCACTCTGGTCCATGGTTACGTCCATGACCATTTCGCATGGCCAAGTTTAGCCAGAGACCAGTTGAGACGTGCGCAGTCTGTTGGATTGCCTGTCTAATATTCTTTGGCGCAGTTATGGAGATGTGCTGCCTAAACTAGCCATTACGTGACGGTTGCCATAATAGAAGCGTATCTTTTCCCCCACAGAAAGACGTGAGTGACTTACCATTTGCACTACTTATAACCTGGACGATTGTCGTTAAAATCACGGTCGAACCTATGAAATATTAATGTGTCATTATTATTTACCTAGAAATTTATATTACTACAATCCGTAGAAGTAAGTTCTTAGTTCTCATTATAATTGCAATGTGCAAATATCTATACCACTATAAAGCAGAAAATGCCATTGTAATTAAAGTTCACTTCGGTTAAGAACATCTATCAACTTATATTGGAAAAAAAACTTGGCTGATTTAAGATCGGTACATGGCCAAAAGATTCACGATTTTTTTCGACTGTTCTTAACTAACTTCTTGCCTGCTTTTTAATATGATGATGTGGCAGGAAAGAATACACATTTAGTTAAAACTACTAGGCATAGGCATAAGCAACGGTCTCTTCGCGAGACAGCCTTCTCGCTGCTTCTGTTTTTCTCTGCATCTGTGATGGTCTAGATGGGCATGACATCAAATGTTCAGTATTATCATAATATTAAATGTTATCAATCGTTTTTGAATTTGAATATGTTCTGCATTTTTCGCGGACACAATTGAAAGTTTCCATATTCATTCCTTTTAGAATGAGAAAACACGATTGACAAAATTGGCTGGATCTTGGTGTTAAGGTAATACAGAGATTTGTACTTGGAACAATTGATGATTGAGTCACACTCACAGATCAGAAAATATTCAAGGGTAAACTTTTAGTGAAATATGAAAGCCTGAACAAAAACAAAATCTAAAATATATCTTTATAATATACAAACATAAAGAATTTATTCAACTGATTTCCTTTAACATTATATCACCCAATCGGTCTTCCACGTCCGACGAACTATCGCTTTTGTATCAGTAGATACCACCTATGCAAAACTTTCTACTATAT